CCTGATATTGCCCATATAAGACACTTCTGGGAAGTGTCTTATAATCCATGAATGCGCCATATCTATAAGTCACTGCCTGGGGAAGTATGTACATGCCTCGATCGTTTACCGTCTCGTGCTGCCATCTATGTTCGCAGGAAAGCTGAAGCGCATGGGCATAATAAATCTATTCACTCGCGGAAAGCCGCATGCCGGACAGCGAGTGAACGCCGCTGGTGCTGCCACCGCTGCCTCCGCTGCCGACGGTAGGTTCACGGACAGCGGAATCGACGCCGGATTCTCGGCCAGTTCGACGTCGGACGGTTCCGGTCACGACCCCGGAAGCGGATCCGCTCTCTGCGCCCTGCACGCTGTCGCCACCTCCCGGCAAAACCCGCGTACTGCCGACGCCAACCCCGAGGAAAACGCGGTGGTCGGCACGCGCGACAGACGGAACGATGACGACGACGACGACGACGACGACGAACGACGACGATGAGAGAGAGATAGTGGAGCCGCCCTGTCTCGCGGCGGGCAACACGAGCGGCCCCGTTCGGCTGACGGGCCTCCGTCGCCAACGCAACAGGAAAAACCGACCGACGGACGACGACGACAACGACGACGAGGAGGAAGATGAGGAGGAGAGAACACGACGGAGGCAAGAAGATGAGGGAAGAAGAGAGAAACGGTTTCTCCGGTGCGAAGACGAAGCGTTTTCGAACGAAGCGTTGCGTCTGCTTGTGCGTTGCTAAAGCAACAAGGAGCATGCTTGCGGCGCAGATGCCGTCCGCTCCTGGCGATGCATCGCGTCGCCGAGTGCTGCGACGGTTCGACGCCGCAACCACGCTGAGTGTGCAGCGCCCTCTACGAATCCCACCGACAGACGACGCTGAACCAGACGTCGCGCTGCTGCGACGAATCGAAGCGCGAGAGAGAGCGCCTGTGGCGCGAGCGACGGCGGACACGAAGAAAGAACGCCGCCCTCCAGCGGCGCATGAATCCGAGCCCCATCTGAGCCGAACGTGTGCCACGGTCTGCCCGCTGCGCGCGCCGACGGAGTCGGCAGACGTAAGCAGCTAGTGTGCGCTGTCGCGCATCTCGGTTGCCGAGCTAGTGGTGGGAGATGGCCGCTAGCTGTGTCATCGGGCTGCGTTACAGGCGCAGGACGGTCGCGACCGCGACGAGACGAAGAGCAGGTGGGCGCAGCCGTTGGCATCGCCGGCCGGACGGCCGACGACGCGCCGCCGGAGACGAGCGAGGGGGAGCGCACCGGCGCGAGCAGCGGGGCGCCGGACAAGCTGGGCCGTGCTAGCCGAGCGAAATGTAGACGCCGCACGTCGGTGCGTCGGCGGCGGCGGCGACACGCAGCGGACCCACTCCGCCTAGATCGACTACTCGACTGCGTCGCCCTACCTCGATTGAAGTCTGACATAGACTTCATGGGCCGGTAGAGATCCCCAGGTGCTGCTGTAAAGCAACCACGCCGCGACGCTCCGTGATGCAGCTGAGTCGCAGTCGAATCTTGTCAAGTAATTGTCTTCAGCTAAGAACAATAGTCCGTCAAGTGGTGGTCTCTTGGTTGTGTGTGTTTGTACTGCTTAAACCAGTCCATTCAGGGTAATGGTTTCATCAGCCCAAGACCAGTCCCATCAAAGCGCCATAGTCTATCAGAGTTAAGACCAGTCAATCAAGGAATGGTATCTCACTGCCAAGACCCAGCGCCATCAAGTAATGTCTCACTGCCGAAAGACCAGTCCATCAAGTAATAGCTCTCATGTCTAAGACCAGTGCTTCAAGCGATAGTCTGATCAGAGTTAAGACCAGTCCATCAAGTAATCGTCTCACAGCCAAAGACCAATCTTTAAGTCCCGATGCCGCACAATCAAGACCGTTGTGACAAGCCGATTGCCCCACAGCCAAGTCCTGTCCATCAAGTAATGGCCTTACAGCCAGGTCCTGTCCGTCAAGTGATGGTCTTACATCTAAGTCCATTCTACCAAGTGATGGCTTTTCACCCAAGTCCAGTCTATCAAGTCACTGCCCCGTCAGTGAGTCCAGCCTTTCAGACGAGGTTGCGTCTGAGATACGATCCGTCATAGCTACCCCTACAGACCACACCGACCCCTCACCGCCCAGCCCACCCACCGCCCCGTCCGTCTGCGCGCGCTGCAAGCGACAGCAGCTGCCGACGACAACGCGTGGCGACGGTAGAGCCGAGCGGTTGGTTGCCATGGCGACGGTCGGCGCAGCGTCGCGATCCACTCTCATGAAGGTGCCGTCGGTCGGCAAGGTTGCCGGATCGCGTCTGATGTCGCTGCTCGAAGCCGGCAACCTCTGTCTTATCATGAAGGACGTCGCGTTGAACTTTGACCTCGGCGACGACGACCCCGACGACGATGACGCCGACGACGAACCGATTGCTAAATACATGATGGAGTATATCAGGATGCGACAGCGCAGCGAGCGGAAAGTGCGCGCCGCACGCCCCCACCGCCGCGTCGCCAGCGGCACGCGCCTGCGCAAGCGCCTCCTGGTGGAGCGCACCGCCGCGCCGACGCGTGCGAGGCAGACGAGCGGCTGCGGGGACAAGTCGACGCAGACGGTCGTCACGCAAACGGAAACGGAATCCGAGATCGACGTCGAGGAACGTCGGGATGACGCGGTCGCCATGGCGACGACGACGACGAGGGCGGTGACGTCACTCGCGCGCCTTCCGCTGGCGAATTGCCGGGAGAAACATCCGAACGCGCTGCGGGCGTGCACGCAGGGGCGTGTGGGTCGTAGCACGATCGTCTGCGGCTGCGCGGAGCAACAACATCATCATCATCAGCAGCAGCAGCATCAACATCCGCAGCATCATCATCAGCAGCAGCA